ATATTTTGTGCTGGAACTGAGTCCGGACAGACCTTTTTAGCGAAATCGAATATCCATCGGTTGGAGTATTCTTCACTCTCATTGAAAGATGAGCGGTTACGCATGTTGCGAGCCACCCTCCACAAGGTGTTCATTGAGGTTTCTCGTGAGAGTCCCTCGACGAAATTGCGCCAATAACCGCGTTTTTTTGCTTTGATTAATTGTTTCAGCTTTGTCTCAAGCTTTGAATATTCCTCGAAGTAAGTGGAGGTTTTGTGTCTACGAAAAGCTTTGAAAGCATCAGATTTTTCTACATACAATTTTGTGCATTCTTCGTCCCAACCAGGTGTGGCTGGTCTCCTTTTAAAGGGTGCACTTGGAACTTTTCTTTTTTGTGCTTCCAGTGAGCTTTTGTAAATCAAATCGGCTAGGAATCGATATTCTTCCAATGGTGGAAGCGCATCTATTGATTCGACACCGATTGTCACCGCCGTTGCATATTTCTGCCAGTCGATGTTCCTTGTAAGATCAAATGGAACCCGAGATGGTTCTGCAGAGTGAGGGCCACACTTTATTGAAATGATGATTGGCAAATGATCGCTACCATGGGGATCATTGATAACCTTCCACTGACAATCCAATGATAGCGATCTTGAACACAAAGATAGGTCGAGTCGGCTTTCTCGAGCCGGAGGTTTTGCTATACGTGTCGCTTCACCAGTGTTCAAAATAGTCAAATTGAAATCGTCACATAAATCGTAAAAAATAGCCGCTCTATTGTCGTCATATAGATCGCCCCACCCAGTACCATGGGAGTTCATATCACCCAGAATTAATACTGGGGATGGAAGAATCGAAACTAGATTCCAGAGTTGACTACGGCTAATGGAAGTTCTTGGTGGAACGTATACTGAAGCTATGCAAAGATCTTTGTTCTTCACATTTATTTGGCAAGCGAAATTTTGTAGAAAGGGTAGCACTTTTTGATCCCTAAAAGTACTCCTCCATAAGAATCGTCTCTATCCAGGCGAATAATGTTAAAATCGTGGAAGTTGAGTTCTTTATCGGAAGAAAGCCATGTTTCACAGAGAGCAAATATATCACAATCAGAATTGTGAAGTAAAAATTTGAACGAGTCTAGTTTAGGCACTAGACTACGGCAGTTCCACTGTAGCACAGTGATCATATCTTCAACCTCGTTCGACGAATTATCCATCGAAAGATATGATTGATGCAAGGAGGGGCCATGAAACAGTCAATTGCTTAAGATATGATTCTAACGTTGGAAGCAAGGCAGAAACTAAGCTTCTTAGAGGGTCTTGTATGTTGAACATGTTTAATATGAATTCCACAATGTCCGAAAAAGCTAGCAAACCACGTTCGGACTTGGATTTCTTTTGAGAAGTTTGAGGAGCAGCTTTTTTATTTTTTTTATCTTTGTTGGGCAATGGCGGAAAATTCTTGCTGCATCCAGGGATTGGATCAACAGGAGCCTTCGGTTTTGTTTTTTCATCCCCATTACCCTGGGAATTTGGCAATCGTCTGGAGGTGACTTTAGTTTTCTTACGGCGCACTTTCGGGGAGGGGCATTTTCTTTTTGAGGAACCGTCTATTTTTGAAGGTGCGTGTACCACCGTAGAATCACCTTCATCGGATGAGTCAGAGTCCGATTCTTCAACTGACAAAACCGAAAATTGGTTTGCATCTTGGACGGCTGATGCAGCCTTCAACATTTGAGCATATGTCTGCTTGGAGCGTCCAGAGATTGAACGCTGCACTTTATCGGAGTGCTGTTTGTACATCGGGCACTCCTGCAAGGGGTGAGGATTCTCGCCACAGTAAGCGCATTTTACTGATTCTTTGTGGCAAGAATCCTCTTTGTGGTTTTCACCACATTTGCCACAACGAGTTTTGTTGCCGCAATGGCTGGCCGAGTGTCCCAGCCTTTTGCAGTTGGTACAATTATATACCCTCTGTACAAACAGTCGCACCGGAAAAAAAGCACCATCAATTTTAACAAAGTTTGGGAGAACTGAACCTGCGAAAGTCACCCGGAACGAGTCTGAATGTTTATAAACTTTTTTACCGTCTAGCAAAGATGCTGAATGCAGTTGCCTTACATCCAGTATCTTCACTAGCGCGGTAGCGAATGTCGAGTTTTTAAAAGTTCCCGAGGCATGTTTCAAGTCCTCGACAGTCAGACTCGCGTCGGAGACCACGCCTTCTATCTCCACATCTCGAGAAGGGATGTAGATGTTGTACTCAACACTAAACAACTCGTGATCAGCAATTTTATTTGCCACATCATAAGTCGGTGCTTCTACACGCAGTTTGTTGAATCTTTCTTTGTGTACCAAGATTCCCGGATACTTACGCAGCAAATCTCTCGTTATGTCGAGAGTTTTCAAAGGTTTATTTTTGGGCCGAAAAAAGACAACCCATGGTCCTTTCGAAGACGGTTCATAGTATCTGGTTCGCGTAACGTAGGCATCGGAAGATGCCATAAGTGTTGCGCAAAAGCGGTGCGCAACCACTTAAGAAGGAAAAAAAAAATAAAACCTTCACTAATTAATTAATTTTAATTACTAGTAATTAAATTTTTTGCCCGACGTACAAACAAATCAAAAAGAAAAAAAAATCGAAAAAAAAAAAAAAACTTATATCTACTTGCAAAAAGTTGTCTCACTATGACCCATACTCCCCTACCAGGGGTGAGAGACAGAGTCACGCGCCACGAGGCAAAATTGAACTACAATAGGGAGGCAATGGACTTGCAAAATGTATTGTCTAATACTTATGCCGGTTGTAAACAACCTATCAGCCGTTGCAGCTAGATGGTCCGTTTGCTGCTGCTGGTGGTGATGATTGGTGTTGGTGGGTCGGCACGATGATGGAAAAAATGGCTTGACGACCGGATGGATTACCGGGGTGGATTAAAGCTGGATGGCAACTCCAAGGGGCTTGGCCCATGGAATTCCACTTCCTCTGTTGCACACTGGTCACTTGGGGCACCCAATGGGGGGTGAAAAAACCGCTCGGGCGGAAAAAACACCGAAAAAAACTAGATGCCGCGCGACTGAGACCGGGACGTTGTTAACCGACTGAGTGTTCAACTAGGAATGTGTAATAAACTAGGTTGTATTCAAACGTATTCCATGTTTGAATCCATTGATAATAATGTTTAAAATAAAAGTAATGATACGTTTATTTTAAAAAATATTCGTTTTGAAAATAGAAGTGAATGTTTTTGTTTGATTTGATAACTATATGTGATCAAAAATAAATATATAAAATAAATAAAATAAACAAAGATATTTTGAAATTACTGGATGCGGGATAAAACAAAATTAAATGGATGGCAAATAAATGGAGATCTGCAGACAGAGCATCTAAATTCCTGCGATTAAGGAAGGTCTTTGGGTGTTTGGATCCGGGTCCGAGATCCGGGGGGCCAGTTCAGTAAAATCGCTGAAACTATGTGATATTAGCGTCGTTTTGTCGTTTCTGACGCTGGTCATCATACCGGCCTCTTTCTACGTTTGGTGTTGGGGGATGATATGTTTTTCTTTCGACGTCGGGTGGGGGTGAGGATGATATAGGGATCGGCATCAGAAACGACCGAGTGATGTTGGTATTGTGGGGTTCCACTGGTTTTGTCGAGCTTGGAACACTTGCTTGCGTAGGTTTGCGGACCCTCTGCTTCGGTTTCGACGCTTGCAGGCCATTTTCTGTTGAGTATGCCGAATGTGAACAAGAAGAAAAATAAAGGACGCGCTAAAAATTGTTTACCCCTATTATGTATTATTGAAATAAGCATGATTTTGAATTTTATTCAACTTGCGATCAGGCATGCGATAAAGAATCCACTTACGAAATTGTAATCTATTTGACAGTTCCCGCATTTTACTGATCATCCAGGAAACAAACATTTTTGCTGGATTCACAGTAAATCTTAATTTTGCTGATTCAAAATTTGGTGTGTGGACCAACCAGGCAGTGCACTTGAGACTTTCAAACTAGTTAGTAGTTTTTAGATTTATTTTTCTGAGTGCACTTAAACTTCAGTATACGGAGATGTTCAGCCTCAGGGGGACCTACTTTCATGCGATTTGGATGTTCTATTTTCACGTCAATTGTTGTTTGATCGTCAATTGACTGATGTCGCCGTGTTTTGACAGCCATGTTGTTTATTTATCTCCGCGAATAAGTTTTTCCTCCCGTAATCGTCAATCCTTTCGGCATTGCTTATTTTTAATTAATTACACGCTTTCCAACGTTTTGAACCCGCTCGTCAGCTTGAAATATCATGTCTGATCCTCATGATGAGCTGTGTCCGCCGAATAATCCGGAAGACGATGAGCTCACTCTGCCGCGGGCCAGTATCAACAAAATAATTAAAGAGCTGGTAAGCAAAAAGCCCGCTGAATGCCTACTCGGTAATCACCCGAACTAACTTTTACAGGTCCCATCGATACGGGTGGCCAACGAGAGCCGGGAGCTGATTCTTAACTGCTGCACGGAGTTCATTCACCTAATCAGCTCGGAAGCCAACGAGGTTTGCAACCAACGGAACAAGAAAACCATCAACGCGGAGCACGTACTGGAGGCACTGGATCGGTTAGGTTTCAAGGACTACAAACAGGAAGCGGAAGCCGTGCTGAACGATTGCAAACAGGTGGCAGCCAAGCGACGACGGCAGAGCACACGGCTGGAGAATCTTGGCATCCCGGAGGAAGAACTGCTCCGGCAGCAGCAGGAACTGTTTGCCAAGGCCCGGGAAGAACAGGCTGCCGCTGAGCAGCAGCAGTGGTACAGCTTGCAACAGAATGCCGAGCTCTATCAGAAACAGATATCTCAGGACGAGGATGATAGTGACGATTATTAATCTGGGAGGGAATTTCGGGGACTTGACGCATGTTTTCCTAAGAAAGTTTAACTGTAACGTATGAGAGGAGATTAAAGGAATTGGATTTTTGAATAGGTTTAAACAAATTGTATTATACCTTACTTAATATTAATATTGTTCCTTATCATTAGATGTTTCTTAAATAGCCAAAGCATCAGTCTGTTGTTCGTGACTGAGCTGCGTCTGCAGGTTTGAAAGTTTGTTCTTCAGCACCTGCACTCCCATCATAACGATATTTTCTGGCTTGAGGGCCCCGGATGTTTCCACGTTGAAGAAGAACTTGTTTGGCTTAGCCTCCCAGTTGAAATCCGCTTCGTACTTGTCGTCCTCCAGTTCGGTGTGTTCCGACTTTGGCCACTCATCCGGTTTCGGGAAAAGAGTATGACGCATAGAATTGTCCGGATCGTACTCGAAGCATACACCGCAAGTCGGGTTCCATTTGGCGTGTTCCTTTCCGAATCCCTTCTTGGCATATGCACGCAATTTCAGCTCCTGTCCCTTTCGCAACTTGATGATCAAAATTTCATCCGTGCCCTCGCCGTATTCGTTGTCCTCGTCGTCTCGATGCCGCGACGTAACTGGCAAAACCCTAGGATCGCTGGATTTCAAATCCGCCGTCGTTACGTGCCTTGTGTGTTCATCGTTACACTTGACATCCAGCGTAAACTCTACGCTGCATTCGGTGCAAAAATCCAAACAAGTACAATCTCTGCTGTACTGCATCCGTTCCACCACTTCGTCCGAGATGAGCGGAATCAACCCGACCCGGTGCGCAAGGAACTCATCGGCCAAAACGGTCGTGTTCGACTCCAGTTGAACCCAATCGATGGCCAGCGTTGGGGTCTCGGCGATGAACACTCTCCGGAGGCTGTTGGTGACGCTGCAGAGGCAGAAGATGCGAAACGTAACCTTACTACCCTTGTTGGACGGGTTGGTGAACAATCAAAATATACCTTAAATCCGTGTCCTCGACGACAAACTTCACATTCTCGTCCGTCAGTTCCGTAATATTCACCGATGGCTGGTTGGCATACGGCATTTTGAAGCGGTTTTATACGGGAAAATTGCAATTTTTAACAAAACGATGCCAAATTCACTTCCCGTCGAAGACGATTGAAATTCGCCGACTGCAACAATTGTGACAGCTGTCAATTTCGTTTTCTTTTTCGTTTTAGGTGGAAGTCGACCAATGAGGTACAGAGAGAGGTGGCGCTCATTGGAAGTCGACATGCCCCTGTAGCTGAATTTGTTGACACAAGCACACGGCAAAACCAGGGCTGCACTACACACGAGGGACAAATCAGTAAAAAATAACAGAATTCAAAATGCGTATTGCATTGCTAAATTAAACAATTCCCATGTTGCTTGAAATTTAATCAACTTGACATTAAACTAAGTTTATTCATATCGAATGATTTAAAATAAATACTCTTTTTCTAAAAAATGGTCATCTGACATTAAACTCAGTTTAATCATGGTTGATTAGATTGAAAATTATCTTTTTTGAATGAATTTTAATCATTTTTGATTCTATTTCAGTAATTTTTTATTGAATCTTGATCTTTTTTGATTTTGTATCAATATTCAAAAAGAATAAAATTTAATACTGGAAAAATTATTTCGACTTCATTCATGTAATCATGGCTCGGACTCAATAAGGTGAAAAGAAATTTGCATACTTTTTAAGTTTATTTGATTTAATTTATCTTTGAGTGTGCTTTGAAAATTTTCCGATAAAACCCTAATAAATTTGTTATGGTTATTTTGCTTAACGACGTGTTTGGGGTATCATCCAAACCATTTGTGGAAAAGTTCGACTATTCGGGTTATTGTTCGTTTATGGTATTTGTTTATTAGGGAAAGCACCGAAAAAAAGTGCGCAAAAAAAAAATCAATGCGTTAAAAAATACATGCTAGTGTATTGGTGTTGACGGCGACTCTGTAGCTCTTTACTCCTATGGAAAATCCCGTTACCATACGTCAGACTGTGCGTGAAGCATGGTAACCTTTGAACCGAGCCCCCCCCCCCCGGTGGTACAGTGAAAAATGTAGAGCAATCTAGAGTTACTCTGAGAAAGTTTATTGCACTCTGAACGAATCTTTCTCTCATTGCTAGTGTAACTGACAGTAACTGTTCTTACAGTAATGCATCTGTAATTTGTATACAGCATCCGAAGTCCCTCCTTTTTTACATATTCTGCAGTAAAAAATACATCCAAAGTCTCTCCTTTATTACATATTCTGCATAATACTTTCTAAGCCCCGCACCTGGCAGGATTTCCCGCCGTTTTTTTTTTTATGAATTGGAGATGAAAGAAAGTATCTTTTCAGTGTTCACTCGGTTGTCGACGTGTCGACAGAAGCAGACCACTCTCGATGTGTGTCACGCGATCGTCTGTTTTCTAGGCAGCAACCATTGTGTGCTCCTCATCATTGTTGTTCATCAGCAGTTCTTTCAGTCGATGCGTCGTCGACTTTGCAAAACAACCGTTTCGTGATGAATGTGTGAGTGCTGACCACGTTTTACGTCCATTGCTGAAATGGAAGCACTCTGAGCCCTGTTGGCAAATCTGTCATACAATGAAACCACTGGAAGTGGCTCCTGTTCTGGTGGAAGAGGCTTATTGGATAGCTGTTTATTGTGTTGTACCTTTTGACTAAGACTAGTTTTAAGATGTATTGTATAGTGAACAAGAATCCTCGGCTCTGTAATGTTAATTCGGTTGAGCCTTATCAAATAAATTTAAAAAAAAGTATCTTTTGTGCAGAATATGTAAAAATGGATGGACTTCAGATGTTATTCTAATTGCATATAAAGAGGACATGTTTTAAACTATTTTGTAGCTGTGAGAGGTACAGCATACATGGCATGCAAATTTTATATCAATTTGAATTTTTGGTTTTTTGGCGGGTGAAAAAATTAACGTCAATTCTTTTTAGGTTGTCGTTTTAAGAGGATTTGTCGTTATAAGGGGGTTTGTTATATAAAAATAACATTTGTCGCGTTTCATACTATTTTAGCGTCTCAATAACCCTTTCTGTAAAATATGTGTGGTCTTGAAAAGGACCAATTGTTCGATCTCCATAAATTCCACATCGTGACTGCGGTAATGTTCAGCAGAGGAAAAAAATCCACCATTTTCTGATTTACTCCTGCAACGTTCAAGCAAAACGTTGCGCAACCAAATGGTACTCGATTATGACGACTTAGTTTGGGGAGTACGTTTATTTCATTGAAACAGTGATAAAATTATCACCTTTTATTTGAACATTTTTCAACGTTTTTTTTTAGAAAATTGGAAAAGAATTTATTGTAGCAGATTGTGAGAGTTATTTCGTATCGATTGGTGTATTTGTATTTTAATTCCATCTATAAATGACAAAGTTATAAGCGTTCAAAACCTTACACTTTTTCGTGACGGTCGCAATTTTAGGTTTTCGATTTACCTTCAGTACCTTCCCGTAAGACATAGTCTACGTCAAAACCTTTCTCCACCATGACCATTTCCTACACGGGAACACTGTTACAGTTACAGAACCGATAAGGAAGTTTTTCGGTTATTTTCCCATTCTTCCACGATGAACAGCAAGCAAAACACATTATAACAACTCCTGTCCTCTTTTCCTGTACTGCTGTCACACCAAATAGCACCCATCTCGGGTTGCAACACGGTCTTAAAATTAGATGACCAGCGTTCACGGTTTGGTTTCTATTTTGCACACCCATTTAGAAACCCGCGGTGGGTTGAGGAAATGGGTATTAAACCCCGTTTAGTGGCCCCGCGGTGGACATGTTCTAACACCCTTTAGTCTCGCAACAGCGTTGCCAGATATACCTATTTATCGGTATTTACAGACGAGTGCACGGATGGATTTGAGCTGGGTACTGCGGAGTAAATCGATTTCATTTTGCAAGCCAATGGAAAACTGCTTGAAAATTTGTTCAAGTTTAAAATTGTTTTGTTCTTTCTCAGTTGATTCCCGCCAAAAACTCTGAGCCAGGAGTGCTCGAGCCCCCATGACTCTATCAAAGTTTGTTTACATACATATTTCGCCAAAGTATGTTTTACTGCAATTGAAAACTCTGCTGAGTCATAAAAACTATGCTGGTTTTTATACTTTAATCATTGAAGCCTGTTGGTTTTTGTCTTTGAGCTTACAATTAAGAATGTGTTATGAAAAAGAATGATTCATTTTTATGCAATTGCAATGCTTGACGAGAGATAAGAGCAGTAACTGCATTTGTTGCTTCTGAATGTTTGGCTCCCGTTTGACAGTTTTGACTGTCTCCCAAGTGACCAGCACATTGAGTGAGTCCGCAGTACCCAGGATTTGAGTTCACTCGCTCGACAAAAAGTGACACAACAGCGGGGCCCTGTTTACTAAAAATGAACACATGAATAATACTCGCGTAACATTTGAAACGGGTACAAAAGTGTACACAAAACTTGTTAAGCCCTTTTCGCGTATACCGAATACGCCCACGCAAACTAACAACACCATCGGGTAGGGGAAATTCTCCCCTTCCCGATAGTGCTCTTGGTTTACGTAAGCATACTTCGGTTCTCGTGAAAAGGACCTTGCAAGTTGTTAGGAAAAATTGATAATCCATTTTTAAATGTTATGCGAGCATTATTCATGTGTTCATTTTTAGTAAACAGGGCCTCGCTGTTGTGTCACTTTTTGTCGAGTGAGTGAACTCAAATCCATCCGTGCACTCGTTGTGCACAGATGGATTTGAGTTCACTCACTCGACAAAAGTGACACAACAGCGGGGCTCTGTTTACTAAAAATGAACACATGAATACTACTCGTGTAACATTTGAAACGGGCCTATCACCTTTTGTACACAAAACCTGTAAGCCCCTTTTCGCGCGAACCGAATACGCTCACGCAAGCTTACACTCATAAAATAAATCACATAACCAGTGGAAAATATCCATGTGAATTTCACATAACTTTCATGTGATCCCATAATTGGAAATTGCACCACTAATTCACATGAACGTTATGTGTCCAATGAAATCTATATGATTTCTCATATAGAATTTCTAATGCTATGTGATATTCAGGTAAAAATCATTGTTTTTGTTTTTGGAAAAATACTATGTGCGTTTCTAATAGAAACTAAGTGAAAACTTTTTTCAGTGTACAACACCATAGGGTAGGGGAAATTCTCCCCTTCCCGATAGTGCTCTTGATTTGCGTGGGCGTACTTCGGTTCTCGTGAAAAAGACATAGCAAATTTTTACAAAAGTGTATAGGCCCTTTTCAAATGTTACGTGAGCATTATGCATGTGTTCATTTTTAGTAAACAGGGCCCCGCTGTTCTGTCAATTTTTTTTTCAGTAGATGAACAAAAGTTCACCCGTGCACTCGTCTATTAGGTTCTGCAGCGTGACGTCACAAATGAACTCAGTGTTAAACGGCTGAACCTTTTTGACAGTTCAGTGGTACAGTTTACAAGCACTTAGTCGTTTTTACGAAAAAAATATATTTTAAAATTTCCGAATTTTAACTTGAAAATTGTTGAGGAAATGCGTGGTGAAATGATGTTGCTCGTGTACATTGCAAAAGTGTGGTTTACATCGCACTGCAATCTGAAAAATGATCCAGAAAATCTACCCAAGAAAAAATCGACTAAGTCCACGTAAACTACCACTGAACTGCCATCAGATTGAGGTTAACCCCGACGGTGCAAAACCTAATACCGATTTTCAAACTAGATAGAGCCGAGGGGGAAGACAGTTTTCATTTGAGTACCTCTTTTACTCAGAGTTGCTCAGAGCTACTCTGGTTTGCTCTGGGATCTGATCTGATTTGTGACGAAACAGAATTGGTAGAGTATATAGTTTTGGAATTTGACCATGCAAATTTCAGTTCGATAACGAAACGAATACAATGAATGAAGTTAATAAATGGATGCAATATTTAAATAAGAAAATAATCTCGTTTTCCACCAGTTCATTGAAGTTTTGGCTATTTTCTTAAATCACTCTGATGATGGCTTTCTGCAGGGCACTTTTCTCTTTGAAATGGTAATGAAATAGACCATGATCTTGCTACCGTAGCACCGGGCATCCAGATGCTTAGAGCAAGCGAATGGA